CCCCAAAACCCCAAAACCCCAAAACCCCGGTAGTATTAAATAATAGCATTATAAAAAGGTTAGAAGTTGATTATTAATAAGTTCAATTCATAATCTATGTTATTTTATTTTTGTTTTACTTGAGTTATATGGGGAGAGATCTCGACTTGGTTTTCTTTATTAATATATTCCACTTTTATCAAACCTTTCTTTGCTCGTTGGTTTGTTGCATCCACAAATATTTTGTTAAATATGATTGGGAACTCCATTTGCTATCATTTAGATACATCTTTGGCATCTCTATCTTTTGCTAGCACTCTTTCTTCTTGATCTAGATTGATCCTCAATTGTAGTTAAGTTTGATGGGTTATTGCTTTTTTGCCTCATAGATGTATATCTACTGCCTATTGCAGAGCTACCACGACTTTTTACTTATTTCTTCATGTTTTTATTTAGTTTACTAGGAGTAATGTTGATGAGAGATTTATCAGTAGACTTTTTTCTATCTTTTAGTTCTTTTTTGCGATTGATCCTTAATACTACTTCCTTGAGGTGCTAATCAATCTTATCTTAATATTTTAGTATTTAAGTATTCCAGTACTTGCACTCTTCACAATTCTTAAGATGTCTCTAACATTTCTTGACCTTCTTTTTATTTGATTTCTCAGCGATTCTACTTTTTGAGGAACTTCTTTGCCTTATGTTTTGCTTGCTAGCTTAGTCTTTCATAATATGACTATTATTTCTGATATTATCTCTTTAGGTAATGGTTATATTCTAGGATTAATCATCCTGCCTGATAAAATAGTTTGGCAACAACTTGTGATCATCTGATTAAAGAGTCTCAAAAGTTTATTTGTCTGTTATTTATGGAATACGAATATGCTGGTCACTCATATTGAATTACTGTTATTACTAGTACGGTGTGATAGGACCACTTCTTTGATGATTTATACTTTCATTATACTCATTAACTCTAAATTCTTAGCTTTACTAATTGATCTATTACTTGTTAAGATCTTTACCTTATAAGACTAACTCTCTGAGTTCCTTGTTTTCATTTTATAGCTTTTATAACTCTTTCAAGATATAGTCATTGCTGATATTGTTATTATTTTCTTTATTTATTGATCTTTGAGATTAATGAATAGAGTTATAACCACTTTCTTTAAATTTTCCTGTTTAGTTCAAAGATTTATCATGAGTATAATGACTGTGGATACTGTTAGTCTTGGAATGCTTTTTCGTAAGTTAATTACTTATATGATTAATAACTGAATCGTTATTACTGTTTGAGTAAGGACTTATGATGGGTTCGTTTTAGAGTAGATTTTCTTGATAGTACAACTAGATAGATGAATCCTTGATTCTAAGGTTTTCTGGGAATACTCTGGGTTATTCTTTCTAATAATAGAATGATTCATAGTCATTACTCTGATTAATCTCTTCATTTAGATCAGCATTATTAAAGCTCTAACTACCTCTACCTTCATTTTGATACAATTTTTTACTTTCATAGTAGGGTTGAGTCTATGTTTGATTAAAATCATCCTTTTGATATTTGTCTGTGTGTGATGTGAGCTAGCTATTGTTCATGCTTCGATTAAACTCTTGTGTATTCTGCATTGATAGTTAAGTAGATTTGATATCTTCTTTATTATCAGTCTGTGCATTCATAAGATGAGATGTTTTTCTTCTCCAATAATTACTCTTAAAGTCTAATTCTTTCTATGTTCTCTTATAGTTATTATCTTTAGAGTTTTGCTCATCTTTAAATGTATATGATTAGTTCTCTTTATTTTCAATTATTAGTTTCTATGAGCTTCTTAAACTACAGTACTATGGTTCTAAATTCTTATTTTCAATGTTTCCTTTTATAGGTATGACATTTACGCTTAGCTTTTGAACTTATGAATTGTCTTTCTCCTAAGTATGGGGCTAAGTTGTCATATCATCATTAATAGTGGTTGTTGCCTAGTTATTATTAAGCAGTCTTTTTGTATTTTGAGACCTGCTAGGAGTAATTGATTTAGTTTCCAAGTCTCTTAGATAATTTCTCATATGCTAAATCTAGTTCTTGTAGTTCTCAATAGTATTTTGATACTTTTATTATGGACTTAAAGAAGACTGCAGATTTTATATGAGTACGCTTTATCTGTCATTAAGAGGTGATCTGAAATCATTATTATTCTTTTCTGAGCTTTTATCTGATGAATAGATTTCCTAATCTATATTCTCACCAAAGTCATATTTATCATCTTTAAGGTGATACTTCGGCCTTCTTGAACTATTTTAATGCAGTTATTTCACTGAATTCTATATTTACTCAAATTGAATATTTTTATATTACCTCTAGCTGTTTGATTTGATTGCGGAGCATTCTGTTTTCTCTATCTAATTCTCTTGATTTTGTAGTAGGTGACTGAATAAAAGACTCAGTATTATTTAAGTTAGAAGAGCAAGTATTGATATTGCTGTAATTAGTATTTATGTAGCGAGACGATTCCATTTAATTATTATTTGAATCTAACGTCTATTAATATAAATGATTTTGCATTAAATTCATAGAATAAAGTAATCATTACTTACGGGGTTTTGGGGTTTTGGGGTTTTGGGG